CGCCTAGCGAAATCCTAATCCTCACACTCTCTTTTTAGGCTCCTGTACAACAATGTTGTGCAGTGTAAGTCCTAACCCGCCTTAAGTTCCGAGGTTGTCGTGTGACACGACGCAAACCCTCTTATCTCTGCGGGCCATTTGCATAATCAGATATTATGCAAGTGTAAGTCCCAAATAAAAAAACTGACAGAATCAAACACTTAATTAACATCGTCTCCAAAAATGTAGCCACACTGTAGGACAGTCTGGGAAGTCACCGAGATTTACCTCGGATCAGTGACATCCCCTACCTTCTCCTTTCTTTGGACTCCTGAAAATAAATGTTTTGCATTGAGTCATTCCCACTTGATTTTCTTCATCCTACCGTGAGAATCTGAACTTTGAAATCTTGAAGACTGATACATCTGATCATTATCGAGAGTTTTCTCAAGTGACCCCAATTATTTGGGATGTAATTAACTATAGGGGCTTGCCCTATAGGGAATTTGTAACCCAGATAAAATAAACCCTATTTAATCTTTGTATTAAATAGGGGAACTTGTCGGTCATTCATAAAAAGGTTCGTAGACCAAACGGATATAAAAAATCTCTTAGTTTGCAGGATTTGGTCTATCGCCGAGATCTACACTTATCTTTTGGGAGGGTGTAATATTCGCGGTATCATGCACGATTATGCAAGCTATTGGACGAATGAGATCCATTTGGTCTCATTTTTCAATTTTTCAAAAACTAAAACATATTATTTTTAAAACTCAAACTATATATATCTTTTATACTTAAATTAAATTTCAAAAATTATTTTTATATACCATATTTTCAAATAATCTATAAAAAAGTTGAGCGACATAAGTATATAAGGTCATTGTTTCTATCTTTTTGATAGAAGTATTTCGGCTATTTGGTAATATGGTCTATTTCTTTTGAGAAGAAGAGGTCGTCGATGATGGAAAAATTGTAAGGTTATTCGAAGTGAGGATTTAAGTACTCACAATTGATTATTAGTTCTGGATTCAAAGAGGAAGAGTTCTAAGATAAAGAATACTAGAAATCATTGCTGTAGTATTAGATGGACACTTAAATGATATATAAAATTATTTTTATGATTAAACTTCAAGATTTGGGATGTTCACGAAGAAACAATTTTATGTGAGATATATTAACTAACAATATTAACCAAGTGAGAAAAGATGTACTTGGAGGATCAAAAAGAAAAATTTCTATAAATAAATATAGTTGGCGGTGGATTAATAATGTGTAAGAAAAGATAAAATGCAAAAAATTGTGTTATGAAATTTTATTTAAATGTAAAAACTTAGGTAACTCGTACGGAGTTTAAGAGAAGAGTTTGGGATGTTAAAATTTCTGCATTTAGTGATCTTTATAATAGATTAAATACCAAAGAGAATGAAAAATACATGTATGAACTAGCCAACTAAAAAGAAAAGAAAAAAACAAGGATTTAACTCAAGTAAAGTGTATTAAAGGTGAAAATCAATGAGTATTTTTTATAGAAAAAAGATATTAAACATAGGTGATTGAGTTAGTTTGATAAAATTTTCAATTAGGTTTTGGAAAATAAGATTGATTTTATTGATTTTTTTTATCGTTAATACTTACAAAACATTTTATTTTTACTGTCTTATTAGTAAAAAAGAAATTGATGAGGCTTTAAAGAAAATTGATAATGAAAAAGTAATAGGACATGATGATAACCCAATTGAAGTTTGGAAATATTTAGGAGATTTGAGAGTTTCTTGGCTTACTAATTTCTTTAATATTATTTTAAAAAGGCTAAAAAGATATCTGGGGAGTGGAGGAAGAGTATTTTAGTCTCCATTTGTATTATTTAATCTGAAGAGTATTTTAGTTTCTTGGCTTACAAATTTTAGTCTCCAGAGGGATGCACCTGAGTGTGCAAATTATAATGGATATGTTGGTTCTCATTTGGTTCTCTCACTTTTTACTTAGTAAATTGGGATTATTTATTTGGCGAAGCAAAAATATTTAATTTCCGGATGTCCTCAGAAAGTAATCGGTCACATATGACATTGCTTCACTCTGGGATCCCCTACAACTTCAGAAAAGTGAAGGTGATTTCTAGTGCTTCCGGAAGATGCTATTTCCTTGAATGCCGGTCATGATGAAGAAAATATACTGTGTAGTTATTTCATGTGTTTAACTTTCTTGATTTTAGCCTTGGAATGCTAATCACAACTTAATGTAGGCTTATTGATGCAAATATGCATGCATTAAACCCCTCATTTTTGCTTTGTGATTCAGGTTTTGGTAGCACAGGTTACGAGCGTTGAGGACCATGGCTTTACTCTTCACTTCGGTGTACCCTCCTTTAGTGGCTTTCTTCCAAGGATGGATGATGGTTGATTCTCAGCTTCTAAGCTACTTTTTTTGATGTATCATGATGTTCTTTTATTCCACAGAACATTTTTGAAATTTTTTTCTGCCTCTGATATCTAAATATAGATTGAGTAACATTGTTGAAGGCTACTAATATAAATTCTGAATTGAACAGGTGGTATTCCGATTTGTAGAGGACAGCTGTTACAATGTGTAGTGAAAAGTATAGATAAAGCCCGAGCTATTGTTTATACAAGCTCTAGTACTGATTTGGTGTCCAAATATGCTGTATGGTTTTATTCTTCTCACTATTCTCTTTTTTTAAAGTATTATTTAATCTGAAATTAGATTATCTTGCTGAACGAGCTTTCAACAGTGGTTATTTATTAGGGACATTTACATAGATACCACCTAATTATTATGTATTTACATGTCTAGCACCTACACTTATTACATTTATACCACCGAAATCTTCCTATTTTTTATGATTACCATTTGGCTTTCTGTGTGGTGACTATTTGTATTTTTTCTGTTAAATATTTGAAGGGGCTTTCAATTGACCTTTTAGTGCCTGGCATGTTGGTTAATGCTCGTGTCGTCTCAATGCTCAAAAATAGGATTAAGTTATCATTCCTTACTCACTTTACTGGAACAGTAAGTATGCTATTCTGGTTTGCATCATGCCATTACCAAATTATTTACCCTATTGTTTCTATACTTTGTGGTTGGTCTGTGCTCATTCTTTGGCCATTTTGTTTTTGTTTAGGTAGATGTTTTCCATTTACAGAATTCTCATCCTACTGATAATTGGAGAGATGACTATCCTCAAAACAAGAAAGTATGCTTCTCTTTTCTCAGCTAGTGCAAGTTTTTCATGAAAATTGAATTTTTTTCCTGCTGTGTATACGACAATATAAAATTGGGGCATATACATACATACCACCCAATTCCTATGTATCGAAGTATCTAACACCTAAACTTTGATTTTTATATTTGTACCACCAAGATCTTTCATATCACATAAAAAATATTGCCATTTTAACTTTAGAAAAGTAAAATACACATTTTCATGCATAGGTAAGGTGGTATGTATGTAAAAATTGATGTTTAGATTTTAAATATGTAAATACGTAGGAATCAAGTGGTATGTATGTAAATTTTCATATAAAAATTAGTTTAATTGTGTTGTGTGAATCCCCTAAAAAAAAAAAAAATCCATTTTTCTTGTTTGAATATTTCACCCTAAGTAATTAGCGTATTAGCTTTCTAATTTATTATGTATTTTATTATGGCATGATATAACACATTCAATATATCGTTATCTGTAAGTAGGTGGGCAATGCAACATTCAATATATCGGTATCTGTAAGTATAGTGGTGTAGCTTTAAAGTGAGCTCCTTTTTGTTGACTTGCTGTGACTGGCCAGGCAGACTTTATATGCAATTGTGCATTTATATAGTTGGCCAAAACTAAATCATTTTCTTGTTTTGACTAACCTTTATGACCCATTATTCTGCAATTTTGATCAGGTTGCTTCTCAAGTAAAAGTAAATGTTTTTTTTTGACCATCTTAACCTGAAATTATGAGAATTAATTACTATTATTTTCTTTTTAAACTACAAATCAAAACACAAAAAAGCTCTTGCAGTTAAATATTTGCTTTACATCAAGTTGTGATGCAACCAATAATGCTTAATTTATATGTTTATTACCATAATTATTAATTCCATATACTATGACAATACGGCATAGTATGAAGTTATTGCAAGATAATAAGCATAATCTCCAAAACTAAATAAAACCACCTTCACTAAACTATACCTCCAATACTGTTGGCAAAAAACTGAGAATGAAAAAAAATCCAAGTTGAAAGATAGAGACCCCGATTTAAGAGATGGAGAAAAGAGTTAAGAAACCAAGGATTACAATAAAAATCTTCTTATTTTTACTTTGGAGTTGGTTCTATCACAAAACATGGGTCACTTAAGCACTTGGCAGTAGTGGAGGATCTATGTTGGACATTTTAGTGTAACTATGTTATATTTATTTTTAGTAGATATTTAATTAAGAGTTATATTATTGGATAGTTCGATAGATTTATCAATTTCAACATATTTGATTTCCTAAAATTTTTTGGGTACCTGTTCATATTTTAATTCAGTTCTACATTGTGAAATGATCTCAAACTCAAATTTAGTTTCCTATTAAGATCTGGACTCTTGCTTAAATTTAGTTTAAACTAATGAACAATTTTTGTTTTAAATTTCATTGGGGATTTGAATTAAAAAAAAAAATGTTATAGCCAACTTTTAACTGTAAATCACTTATTTCATCCAATTCATAAGTTAAAGAATATTCATATACTGTAGTTTCTTCTTTAAAATTAGATTTGAAAACTAGATTCTTGCTTCAATGTGTGTTTAATAGGCCTTATATGGAAGTTTTTTGGATTTTTCTTGAAAAATATTGTTACATGTGCAGTGCTCCAGACAAGTATAATTACAATTTTTTTTTTTCAAATTTTATAGCTGCATTGTTTGTTTTCTTAGGTGAATTGTTTGTTAGTTCATTGTTTTTTTATATAATCCATTCCTAAACTTGAGGAAAGAATTATATATCTTCAAAAGGAAAGTTCAATCATTTTCAAGGAGTTGTACTCTTTCTCTCATTTGTAAAAAGGAGAACTAAAAGTTATCATAAATTATAAAGGTCTACCCCTCAAAAAACTGTGTCAGAGAATGATCTTTATTAATCTTTGACTTGAATTAATTAGGTTGAGGAAAGATGGATGAAAAGAAAATTATTAACCCCAAAGGCATAATGAAAGGGTGGGCATTGATTAAGTGCAAGGGAAAGGGGGATTGAATGATGCTTAAGCGCTAGGAGAAAATTTGATAGTCTTGAAAGATAAAAAAATCACTAGAAACGCAAATGTAGAGATTAATGAGGTTTGGTATGTTGACCAAGTATTGACTATATTTGAGTCAAAGTCAAAGTTATGTATGAGCTTGGATTGTTTGTTTTATGATGGGTTTGAGCTGGGTTAGCCAATTTGGTGGAGTTTTGATCTATTTGGCTAAAGCGGTTTAGTTTTGTATTGATTAGATGTGCATATGATTTAGTGCATCAAACATTTGGACTATGTTGTGCAATTGTAGAGAACTTATAAGACAATAATCTTTTTTTTCTTGAAAATGTTGCGAAATGAGAAAGTTATGGCTATAAATATTGGAGCTAAACAATCTCAAACATTAATGTTTGAAAGCCGAAACTTGAATAGGTTGATTATGTATCAATTCAACTAAAAATAATATAAAGAAATTGTGAGTGATTAGATCATATTGTACGAATTTCATAAAAAAAATGAGATTTTTCATGAGGTGGTCAATAAAAAAAAACAGTTTTTTTTGAAAAAATCTTTAAAGATCATAGATGAAAAATTGAAATTCAAAGCAAGTTGAAATCCAAAGAACCCAATCCTATCCTTATACTAAATTGATAGTGAGTCACATTAGAATCAAATGAAACACTAGATGACGCAAAAGTGGAGATGGAGAAATGAGGAAACCTAAAAACATATAATAGAAACCTCATTTTACTTCGTTTGGAGTTGATTGTAGCACATATCATTGATATTGGTAACTTTGAAATCACAGGGAAGCCATATAACACACATGCACGTTGCAACTAATGGGGGCACTCGAGGAAAAGAAGCTTTAAATGCTTATTAATTTTTACGAAATGAATTGTAGCTTTTAAATACGTTGAAGGATCCAAGGAGATATGATAATACATTCGCCCCTATTTGATTTTCTAATCTAAGCTAAGCCTAAATCGTAATAACGTCAATGTGAATCAATGCTCCCCAATTTTATCAAACATAGCTCTCACAAACTACGTCTAAATGCATGTACATGAAAAAAAATCTGAATAAATTTTTAGTCTTTTGATTATTATGTATTAATTTGGCCAGAACCTTTTATTCAAATATAATTAATCTTTGTGTATATTTAGTAAAAATTATTAATTTGTAATCAATTATTTGACTGATATTAAATATCATAAACTGTTTAACAAATATGTAGGATTCATTTTAAGGTAGTATTTAAGAACATCACGAAAGTTGAAGCAGTTGAAAGGAAACTAATTGTTTGAAGACATTAAAGGGTTGAAAAAACACCAATCAGATTGGCGGATTTGGAAGGAAAAACGGCGGTTCACCTAAATTAACATAGATGGATACCGCACAAAAAGATTTTGAGAAGAATGGGTTTAAGATTGCATCAATATTCAGAAGCAGTGGATGGCAATGAACATTCATAAACTCAGCCCTAAATGGTTTGGTTATTGTTAATTATGATTGTGACGTGAGATCATCATTACAGACCATAAATTAGGCTACTCAAAGTGCCTAATCACTCATTCAACTTTTATGATATCATTTGAATCAACACAAATTAAAAGGCCCTGGCCTCATATTGGAAGGCAGTTTGATGCACCGATGCTCCTTGAGTTTTTCCATATATGTTTTTAAATTAATTATCTTGTAGATTAGATGCTCGATAAAAATCAAAATCATCGCCTATGGTTACCATTGCTTTGAATCGTACAAATCTATTTGTGATAGCTTTGAAGATTTTAAAATGTTTGTTGACAACCTTTACAATTTTTTTTTTCTAAAAGTTTCAGTTCAACTATTTGCAAAATCATGTAGTTTATTGCTGTTTTTCATACATCGTACAGTTAGAATGTGTTGAATGATTGATTCATTATTTAAGCTCTTTCTTGAGTGGTTTTATATCATATTATATACGCGGGAACATGTTGTATAATAATTTTAATATTTATTATTTAAGGCCATGATCTTTTCTTTGTACCTGTAGCCGCTGATATACAAGTGAGTTTCTCAATACTCTGTGACAATAATATAATTTCTTGTTTCTTTTGCATTTTGTCTTATTTCAATTTGTTTTTATAGGTACTTGCTCGAATATTGTCTGTTGATCCTTCAACAAAAACAATTGGACTAACCTTGAATCTTCACCTTGTTCAACATAGACCACCTCCAATGGTCAGTAATTTAATTTTTTCGCAGCTTTATATTGCCTTGTGCTGATGATTCTGCTATTTTGCATCATTTTATGCTATTTTTACTTTTTGATTGTCGGTTTCATGTTTATGAAATTATTTAATTTCTTTGTTTTACTAAACTTATTTTATCTTATTTAGCATGTCAAAACTGGAGAAATTTATGAGAAGTGCACTATTTTGAGGATTGATGAAAATGTTGGTCTTCTTCTAAGTATTCCTTCTTCTCCGGAACATACTCCTGCATATGTACATGTATGTTTCTTTCGATCCTATTTGTTCAATCTATTCTTTATTCTAAATTTGGAAGGTTTATGTACATATCACTTAATTTCTATATATTTACATATGCAATACCTAAACTTCAATTTTTACATACAAGCCTCCTTATTTTTGCATGAAAATTATATTTTTAATTTTAAAATTGGACGTAGTGGTATTTTTAATGTGATATAAAAGATTTGGATTTTATCAATGTAAAAGGTATAGTTCAAGTGTTAGATATGTAAATGCGTATGAATTGGGAGGTATGTATGTAAATGCTCTTTATAAATTTTCTTCGAGTCAATGCATTTAATTTTCATTTTTATTTGGATAGAGATTTGATGTGTCTGATGAAGAGGTTGGTAAGCTACAGAAGAAGTTTAAGGAAGGGGATTATGCTTGTCTTCGTGTTCTTAGAATAAGGCATTTAGAAGGTCTCGCAATCGGAACCCTAAAGGTATTACCTTTTTATTATTATTTTTTATTTTTCCAAGTTGTTGATGCGTTGGACGCCTCCATTGTCGTTCTTCAAGGTTTTACTTTATGTTGGCTATGTTAATGAGAAATAAAACTGGAATCATTTCGAGATTTGTTGTCTTTGTTTTTTGGTCTTTAATTCATTGCTTAAACTTAATTTTTTCTTATTTTTTGAAAGCTGCTCATAATATTCTTTCTTTTTTAAAACCTTCCTTTTATACATATTATAAGTTTTTAGTTGACGTTTTATTTTGATATATTAATATATTTGATGATCAAACATATACATGCAACATTCTATGTGTGGATATGTAAACACTTACCGTTGAATTTACCCTCACCCTCAATAGAAGGATCAATTTGACACCAACTACACTTTTGGTTGTCACTGAAACACAGCTCTCAACACTGAAAAACTCAAAGAACAAGATATTAAAATCTTTTGGGCAATTTACGTACAGATGATACAAATCTTATGTATTGGCACATCTAACATCTAAACATTTATATTTACATTCATATCTTTAACACTCAAATCTTTAACATCACATAAAACAATACTGCCATCACCATCTTTTTAAAAGTGAAATAATCTTTGAATACATAGATTCTTTACGCTGAAGTGTTATACGTGTAAATGTCAAACTTTGGATGTTAGATATGTACATACATAAAAATTGAGTGGTAGGTATGTGAATTTCCCAAACATTTTAGTAAAGTTCTTTCAGCGTACAGATATTTGCAAATGGGAGGAAAAAACACTGCAAAAAAAAAAAAAATCAAAGAAGAAACAACTAGGGTTTTATCTTCCTAAAATTATAAATATTTGCTCCTTTATCATGATCACCCGGTCATTGGTTGTCTAATTCTAAGAGAGAACAAATGTAGAGATGCCCAGCTTACCTTTTTGCCAAACGCCAGCAAAGGCCTATCACAAAATTGCTATTAGGAATTTTATTCACCTGAAGAGGTACATATATACTTGGAGAGTGTAGATCATGTATTCAAAGAAAAGTAAAGAACAAATGAATGAACATAAATTGGAAAAACACAGAAAACCCGATGATACTCCTTTATGATTCAGGGAACATGTTTTGCTGTGATACAGTTTTCTCCAGCCAAGACACAAATTATGTTTTTTTATCTAGCTTCTTAATTTATTCTATCATGTCTTGATCTGGGAGATTGGAATTACCAAAGTAAGAATTGACAATCGGACGATATTGATATATTGATCTAATATGTACAATAATCTACAACAATCATTCAAAAAATAAAAACCAAGTAAACCATAACAATATTTAATATATCATTAAAACCAAACAATAAAATATCCCATTGCCACAATAATTTTAACTAAGAAAATTAACACTGGATAAATTATCTTCTAGACACCTATTACTAATTTTTTTCTCTTCCTGTAAATAAATTCTCTCATGTCCGTCATTTAAATCAAAAGATTTTTTTCTATAAAATTATTTTTTGAACAGATTATGTTAAACAACTGCCAATGAATAATTATAATGCTACAGTGCACTAAACTTTATGCATATGCTTTAACATGTATTTGAATTTAACGATAAAATATTAAAATTTCATGTCATCAAATTCTTTAAATAATAGCATTTTCTTTAATTAGAAATTTTATAATATTTTAAAATACATTGTCATTTAAGTATTCATCTCATGAGCGATACATTTTTGTACTAATTAAGGTCATATCCATTTTCTTTTCTAAAGATTTTTCATTTTCATTTTAATGCACAGGTACAATAAAATCTTTAACTAGTACCATAAGAGAATGATTTGTGAGATTGATTTTTTATCTTCATTTTTCATTTAATGTATGTTTAATTTATTTCAATCATTTAAACAGTTGTTAAACTTTTAATGTAATGCAATAGATGGAACAATTTAAAATATTAAGAGTCACCATTCTTTTTAAAAGATTGCCTATTTACACTATTTACAAGCGTGCTATAGCAAACAACAACAATGCCCCTTTAATTATTAAGTTTCCCTAGAAAGAAAATAAAGGAAAAGTGGTCCTTTAATAACTAAATAATTTTGAAAAAAACCTTTCATATTTGTCTTTCTCCTAAGGTTGATCGGAATTTGCTCTAGTTGTCTTAAAAAAATTGTTTCTGTTGGCTGGGTAAAAGTATTATAATGTTGTAGGTTTTGGCAGGGTGACCACCCAATGTAAATTCTCTTTTGTTAGAATCAATCTTTTGATTTAATGATACCAATATCAATTTTTTGCTCTCAATCTAATGTTTATGTTTTATCATGACCGTCATTGCAAGCGTATCTATCATACTGCTAAGGTCAACCCAATGGTAAATGCGGACATCTATAAGAATGATGCTTCACCAAACCTTTTCCTGTTATTTATTACCAATAGATAAATACACTAAAAATCATTTTTAATTTCATTTCCTTTGCTTAACTAAGCTGACTTGGTAGGCTTCGAGCAATATTGATTGGAAAGGACCGAGATTACAAAAATTTTTGTGGAAACTACAGTTTCGTAACTCCCGACATCAATAATAGCATTGCACACTTTTTTGTATTGTGCATGCTGTTGAAGCCACCGAGACTATTTATCTATTGCAGTGCTCAACACTATTTGAACAACAAAAGCTCTCCATTATCGACATATACTAAACGCTTGTCATTTCATTCTATTTTTTCTTCAACCATGAACATGTAATGATGATTCGGATAATTTAATGCAATATATTCTAAACATAAACATCCAAAGCATTTTATAAGCAATTTTTTGGTAGTAGACACACTAGCTTTATTAACTCCTAATATTTAAAAATGGATGGGAGGATTGCTTAGGAGGGATTCCTTTTGTGTTATCACGGGTCCTTTTTCTAACTCTTTGACGTTGTCTTTTTTCAAAAGAAATGTTTCTAGTGTAACAATAACTACAACAAACCAGGGCCAGCTACATGAATCTTGTCTCCATCGTGTCCTATGAAGTGACATTTTTATTATAATAAATTAAGTTCATTTTTTTCATTTTTTGTACAACATGCCCAATTTTTTAGGTCTACCTCTACCTTTCCTAGCATAAGTCAAATCTAAAACGCCTACTCTCCCATCTGTGTTATCATATGGTCTATGTTTAATGTGACAAAACCATCTAAGACGACTTTTTTTAATCTTGTCTGCCATTGGAGCTACATCAACCCTTTTTGGAATATATTTTTTTCGCATTTTATCTCTAATTTTAAAGCCACTCATTTGCTTCAGCATTCTAATCTCGGCAACACTTAAATTAATTTTATGCTTCTCTTTTAAAAGCCAATATTCTGCACTATAAAACATGGCCGGTCTCACCACCAACTTCCTTTAAGTTTAAGCAACTTTTGTAATACACAATAGGCCTGATACATTCCTTCAATTTAACCATCCAACTTGAATTATACTGACAACATCCCATCTATATCACCATCACTTTGAACAATAGACCTCAGATATAAAAAACAATCACTCCTTTTAATTTTTTGATCATTGATTGTTACAATCCCACTACCATATATACAATTACTAGAATTACATTTCAGGCATTAAACAATTTTAGATCTACTCAAACGAAAGCCTTTAGACTCCAAAGTTGACCTCCATAATTTATGTTTTTCCTGAACACACTTTGTAGTTTTATCCACATAAATGATATCATCAACAAAAAACAATCATCAAGTTACATCTTTATGTAAATTTCCAGAGAAATGTTTTTAGTGTTGGATTGTTTCCTTTCTACTTTTAAGTGTTAATTTTGTGATATCGGATAACTTCCAATTTTGTTGTGCACATAGAAAATTTATGATTTCTTGATGCATAGCATTGATGTTTTGCACAATAGTATGCTTTTTTGTATTTCATCTTAACATTTCTAACTCAAAATCAGTCAGATATTCTTCTACGGATAGACTAATGTTGAAGATTATGGAGCCTAAATTCATTTTGCCTAAAATGAGATGGCAAGTATCTTCTTAGTAACTTTTAATTTGTTATTTTGTATGGCTATCTTGTTCTTTAACTTTCTCTGGTCCAAGTTCTTTTAAAATTCTTGTACCTAATTTTTGTATTACTTTTTAAATTGATAGTCACTAATTAGACACACTCGTTTGCTGGTATATCTTTATAGTTTAAGAAATATTCTATAGCATACAAGCAAGCAATGAAATTATCTCGATGTAACCCACCTTCAAAATCTGGGATATTTATTCTAACCCCATAATTTTGTTTAGACCTCATTGATATCCAACCTGACTACTACTTGGTGCAGAATTCATCCTTTAAAATAATGCTTGAAATGCTCGATGAAATGAGCTTTTCATCTCATGATCTATCTGATTATTTTTCGAGGAAATGTAATGCAAGTCACATTCACATCTCCAAAATTCGGCTAGTAATTGTTCCACGCCTCTCTCTTTGGCTAGCTGGGTTTCGTTTCTGTTAAGAGGCATCCTAAACTTAGGGATCAGATACTAATTATACACACTTTTGATGGATGCTGCCAATCACAGTATCCGAAATCGAATAAACTCCAAGAGCAAGAAACTACAAGATTACAGGACATCACAAACTTCTTGGCCAAAAAAATGTTCAATCTACCTCCATAAAGAGATTTGCTAATGAGAACACAAAACATAGCAGGAATATTTTCTGACAAAAAACAGCTTGATATTTATGTTACTGAATTTTCTGAATACTTCTTCCTGTCTGCTATGACCATGCTGTCATTTGCTTTCCAATTCTAACAGAGAACAGAGGTAGTGATGGCCAGCTTCCTCTATTGCCAAACAATCATGGTTTTTTTTTAACAAGCAAACGCAAGTTGCTAATGGGAAGCAGAACATACGAGAGAGTGTAGATCACATATGCCAAGAAAAGTCAAGACCAATTGAATGATGTTAAATTGGAAAAACACAGAGAACCTGATGATGCTTTTGTATTATTCAGGGAGCAACATGTTTTTCTGTGATAAAATTTTCTTCAGCCATGACAAGTAAATTCTGCTGTTTCTGCCCAGCTTCTTAACAGAGTTTAACCATCACCCCTAATTGAAATGATCTCTGAGATTTTCCAAGATGGCTGTCTTGGGCTCTGTGCACCAAGAATTCTGATTACCAGCTGCTGCAAGACTTCTAGGCCGCATACTCCAAATCCGAACTTTGTAATGTTCCTGGCTTTGATAGTCTCGGCTGTAACTATTGAAATGTTTTTATCTTGTTTTCAAATAGAAACCTTACAAAACAATCAATTCTTGATGGTACTTTCTGCGTCCAAAGATCTCCTTGTCAGTTTCGCGGGCTTTTTAGGATTCTTGATCTCTTTTATCCCAATTTTTGTTAGATTCTTGGTAGTTTCTTTCATTTTGGTGGCTGAATTTTTCACTTTATTGATGGGAAATCCTTGATTCCCAAATTCTACTATAGATGGAAGCCATCAAATTTCCGTGCCAGCGAGTGTGATTGCAGAATTCAGCAAGTTGTCCACCCTCTGTCCTCAGAACTGCCGCCTCTTGGCTGCAGCCCAGCCCTTGAACTTAGTCACCTACAGTTCTGAAAGAGGTCAAGATGCTCCGTAGATCAATTGTGGCGTAGTTAACACACTTCACTACGGCCTTTTTCCCTCTTTCTTTCTCTAAGCAAGGGAAGCCATTGCAACAACAGCAAACTTCTTCCCCAAATCTCAGCAACATGAAAATAAACTCACCAAAAACTGCCATTCTCTTCAAAGAAAGTCCAGTTTGGGAAGGTTATACTAAACAACCCTAAGATCCCTTACTAAATTATCCCTATGAACAAAAAAAAAAAAAAAAAGAAGAAGAAGAAGCCCTCTAGTAACTAATTATTTATAATAAGGACCTTCAATGTTATTTGCAATTCTAACTTTCCATTTGAGTATTTCAATCTTGCACATGCAGTACATGGTTGGTGACAAAAAATTTATCCTGACTAGACCAAAATGACTCCTTTAATATGGCCATATAATTTTAAGTAATTAATAATGTTTATAGTTAATTTAATTGTGTGAACGAAATGTGCTTCAAAGAAATAAAAAAAAAAATAGTGTTTTTATTGCTTTCTGATGTATAATTTGTAGTGATTTTTGCTTAAATGTTTCAGTCAACTGTTTTCTATTGAGGTTTGAAATGTATGAAGCTTTATTTCCTGCTCGTGCAACTTGATATGATCTTTTCAGACGTATAAAATAAGTTCTGATGGTCTTTTGTTTCAAGAAGCATAGTCATTATCATCCTGTTTTGACAATTTTTCTATATAGGCTAGTGCTTTAGAAAGACCCATTTTCACACATTCAGATGTCAAGCCTGGGATGTTGCTTAGAGCCCAAGTTATTGTTGTGGAGCCATTTGGTGCAATTGTCCAGCTTGCATGTGGTGTGAAGGCACTCTGTCCTTGTAGACATATGTCAGAACTTGAACGTGTAAAACCATCGAAGAAGTTCAAGGTTTGTACTTGATGAACTTAAAATCCTCAGAAGCATGCTTAACTACATCTATATGGTCCGATTGAACATATTGTACTTCCAATTTTTGCCTTTAGGAAATAAGTGGCACATGATTTATGTATTTTTTATGAATTTTTTAAGTGATGATTGTTGTGAAGAGATTTATTAATGTAAATTAAAAATTTAATTTTTCATTAACAAATAAAAAAGTGATTTATGTACAAACTACATAAATTTTAAATAATTACATTAAAGACGAAGATACCCTTAAATTCATTTGAAAAATGATGATTATTATGATGAGATTATTAATTTAAATTAAAAACTATAATTTTTCAACAACAAATAAAAAAGAGATTTATATACAAACCATATGAATTTTGAATAATGACATAAAAGATGAAAAATACCCGTCAATTCATTGATACTAGAACTAGTAAGAAAACAGTGGATATAAAAAAAAAAAAACTTTCATTAATATTTTAGTAGGGTTACAGCATGACACAAATGGAGAATAATAACAAAATAAAATGACACAAGCAAACACCTCACAAGTGTATTCTGAGGGCGATGGATTCTGGAGAGGTGGGTTGGGATGACTAGCCGGGGTTGGGGCAGCGAAGGGGAAAGTGCAGAATTGCAGGGACGACAAAAATGGAGAATCGTAGGTGATCAACGACAGGAGGAGGGGTGGCTAGAAGGTGATGGAAAATAAGGACAATGGTACTGGAGCGAGCAACTGTTGGATGGGAGTGCTGGGAATGAGGGAGGATGGTTGGACAATAAGATAAATTGCAGGTATTAGGCGGTTGAGTGCAAGAAATGAAGGGGGAGTGGCCGATGGCTAAGGAGAGGGGATGGGATAGATTAGGGAAGATGAAAGAGAAATGATACAACACCACCTCAGGGTATGATACAATGGAAAACCACGACCTCCTCGTATACAACCCTAGAACAAGTGATCTGAAAACAAACACATCAAGAACTAACTTTTACACGCAAAGAAGATAATAATTTATAGACTCCCAAGAAACTATTCTTCAAGTTAATAGTGGCTAGTTTGGCATGCCCATCCTCTGGCACCTCCTTCATCAGCTTGCAGCCAACCAAGGAATTTATCCGGATCCATGCCTCCTTCAAACTTCGGTAGATCCACCTTGATTTCGTAGTCTCTTTGTCCTCTCACTTGTATCTCCTTTCGGGAACTCTCCCATTGTGAGGGATTCAAATATCCCTTTCCAGGCCTCCTCTGATACCGAATCCCAAAACGTTACATGTCTCCTTCATCGCTGAAAATCTTCCAATGGAAGGGTTTCGATTCCTCATTTATTTCTCCCCTTTGGCTCTCCAGATCCTAGTCGAGCATATCCTCCTCTTGTGTTCACTCTTAAATCTTAGGAAGTCTCTGTTGAAGATGTAGCTCTCTTCGAATTTCTTCCTGGGTAGCCTTGAATATATCTCTCCATGGTGTCATGACTTAGGATTAGAAAAATCTTGATGAGGTTATGTTTTGGTCGTGGAAAGTATATTTAGTGGTAGGAATGAAAGTTTTGCTTTATGACGGATGCAAAGAAACCCTACGATGAGACTGGGATCGAGTTAGCTCTGATACCAAATGATACCAGAACTAGTAGTAAAAATAATGGAAACATAAAAAAACAAACTTTTATTAATATTAAAATAGGGTTCTAACATGACACAAGCGGGAAATAACAATGCCTAACATAAAATGACATACGCAAACACATCTCAAGTGTATTCCAAAGGTGATGGAGGCCCAACGAGGTGGGTTGGGATCGCTAGCGGGGTTGGTGTCAACTACAGGGAAAGTGCAGAGTTGCAGTGACAACAAATATGGAGGGTCGTTTGTCACCGATGACAGATAGAGTGGTGGTTGGAAGGTGTTATGGAGCAAGGGAAGCAGTAGTGGGGTGAGAAATGGTTAGTAGGGAGTGTCGGGAAGGAGGGGGATGGAGGGACAACAAGGTAAAGCTGCAGGTATGACGTATTTGAGACTTGAGTGTAGTAAATGAAGAAGGGGAGAGGACGACGACTAATGAAAGGGGTGGATACGGATTAGGGCATGAAAGCGAAATGATACAAGACCACCTCGAAGTAAGATATAGCCGGAGCATCAACTTCTCGGATACAGTCGGAGCACCATCTCCTCAGATACAACCTTAGAACAGAGAAAAGAACTCAAGACAGGAGATTTGAAAGCAAACACATTAATAATTGACTCTTACACGCACATAGAACAACAATTTATAGACTACCATTAAAGTTCTACACAAAAGGAAATGGAGGGTAGTTAAGAAGAATCTAGAAGACACTGTCGCAACCCATGAAGCTTCCCTGGATTGCGATAGTTTGCTCCTCCTTCGTGAGAATTTGCGATCTCCGTCTTGCTTCCGTGCAGCTTCTGCCATCGCGATGCTTTGCGGGAGATTCTGTTCATGCAAGATCGAAGCACCAATGCCTAGGTGTTGTTTTAGCGTCCACATTAGGTGCTGATAGCGCCTCGTGTTAGGGACAAGTTAGCGCCCACATGATTCTTGCAGCCCATCGTTAACTTTAACGGAAAACATGATGATACCAGAACTAGTCCGAATTTATTAGAACACAAAAGCAAACTCTTATTAATATAGAAATGGGATTACAATCCGACACAAACAGAAAGAGAAAACACAATAACAAACCAAGGTCTGACTAGGGCTGTAATGGAAGATCCGAAGCCGGAGTGGCATCGACAACATGGTAAGGGTATGAGAAGGGTTGGTGGCTGCGAGGTCGGTTATGAAGGGGTTTGGTGGTCGGTGGGCGAGCTGGACAGTGAGGCTGACTGTAGGAAAGGGTTGTTGGGGGTTGTTTAACAATCTGGAGGGCTAGGACTACTCTTCTAAGGGATGTAATAGGGTTGCCTAATGTGGTGGAAGAAGCTGGAGTAGTGGACAACAGGTAGGAATGCTGGGAAAGGGTTCTTTGTCAGGCTCGGAAGTGTCCGGCATAGTGGAGACAACTGCAGTAGGAGGGCGACAAGGTGGTTGAAGATGGTGGGAAGGCCGTACAACAATGCTAATGTAGGTATAAGCGGCAGTAGGTGGTTGGAATTGATGGAGAAGCCGTGCTGCAAGGGGAAAGGTAGTTGCGGGGACAATCGAATAGGGTGCAATAATCTAGGATGGCTGGCGCTTGAGGAAAGGAAGAAGGTTTAGGGAATAAGATTGAGGGCCCGTTTGGGGCAGCTTATTTGGTGCAGTGGCGTTTTGAAAATGCACCAGACCCGTTTTGGTAAAATATATTTTGACAGCTTATGCATTTTCAAAACGCTGAAAACACCGTTTTCACACCGCTCATAGCTATGTGCGGTCCTAGCTAAGTGCGGTGACAACTTTCTTACTGCGGTCTGACTTTTCTAAAAAAAATAAAAATTTGTAGCAGCCATCACACCTAGTTCATCAACCGATTATTTTTAATCAACTTATCAATAGATCATTCAATAAGCTGAAGTTGCCCCAAACAGACCATGACTAATATAAAACACCATCTTGGAGTAGGATATAGCTGAAACTCCACCACTTCCTCTGATTTAGCCCTAGAACAAGGGAAACTCTCATCACAGGAAATTCAAAAAGAAGAGAACATCAATAACTAACCCTAAACTCTAAAAACAGTAAATAAATACTCCTACTGGAAGGGGAAGCAGAAAATGAAGGAGGAGGGGCGGGCGACATTCCCACCCCATTAAAAACGACACCCCAAGCCACTTTGGTTGAGTTCTCTCTGGACCGGCCCTCAACTGATCTGGTCGGCTCGGTCTGCTGCTCACCTCGCGCGGGAGTGTCCGGCGTCCGCATCATATGATTTACGACCAATTTGGAGAAATTTTTAATAGCTTGGGACTAAATTGGAGCACTCTAAACTCTTAGACTAAATTAGACACTTTTTAATAGTTGGGGGGACTATTTTGGGCTTTTACTCTTTTTTAATCACCTGGGCTACACATCAATCTTGATGTGATTTCTTGTTGAAAGAGAGTTGAATGCACACATATCTAGTAATAACATTACTCAGTGCAATTTAAAAAATGCATACTATGATAAAATCTTTTCAATGAACTTTTCTTATGTGGCCAATTTATCTTATAATAACAATTTTTTTCTTTTTGCTGCCTGATCTACGAAATGGATCCAAAATTGTCTTCCAAGAAGTAAATTGGGTAGATTTTCTATGGTCGAGGCTTAGATTAGGATTAATTTTGTACTATAAATTTTACATGTGGGATCATTTGAGGTCAATTTTATATTGTAGAGGATTATATTAGAGAAATGTGATGCTTTGGGAATAAAATGGCTACATACTAATAGATGACCATTTTGAGATTTAATTTGTTTGTTAATGTAGGATGTTTTTGCATTGTTTCCTGTCTGCTGTTTCATGCACATGACTTTTTGATGAGAAAAATAAACAATTGCTTTTAAGCAGATTTTTAACCATTATGATATTTGAACACCACAATGCATCGGCTTTATTGCTGGAAAAGATTTTATTTTCTAAAATTTTGTTGATATTTGCTGGTTGAACTTCTTGCAGCCCTATTTGTCATTTCGTTGTGGCAATGCTATATGTTTTTAGCAATATTCTATCATTTAAATTTTTTCTGGTTCTCTTTATTATCACAAGTCATCTAAATTTATTTTGGCTCTTGTATTTTGTTAGGTTGGTGCTGAGTTTCTTTTTCGTGTGCTGGGATGCAAATCAAAGCGCATAACTGTGACCCACAAGAAGACTCTGGTATGCTTATCGATTTCATTTTTCTCAAATATTAATGCAACTTTTTCCTTATGCCCATGGAAGACTTATGTGGTAAATCAGAAAGGAGAGAATAATTTTGTATTTCCTTCTATTTTTGAATTAATAATACATTGTATTATATAGGAGATTACAAGGAGAAAAAATAGGAAACTGACTCATTCCTAAATCTGGAAACTATTTAACTAATTCCCTCAATTTGAGGGATTACAAATTAATTCTAATTCCCTCTATTTAAGTGATTACAATAATTCTAATTCCCTTAATTTAAGGGATTACAAATTAATTCTCCCAACCTTATTTCCACTCAGACACACCTCTACACTCCCCCTTAAGCTGAGGAATAGATGTCTTCCATTCACAGCTTGGATACAAGATCATGGAAACTCGAGCTGTTCAACCCCTTTGTTAGACATCGGCTAATTTTCTCTGATGGAACATAGGACATACACACTAACTCTTCCTCCAGTTTTTCTTTGATGAAATGTCTATCAATTTCAATATGCTTTGTCCGATCATATTGTATAGGATTATGAGCTATATTAATAGCTGACTTGTTGTCACAATAGAGCTTCATAGGACCCTCCCATTGGACTCTCAAATCATCCAAAATGATTCTCAACCAAAGTAATTCACATAATCCTTGAGCAATAGCTCTGAGCTCTGATTCGGTAGATGACCTTGCCACTACATTCTATTTCTTGCTCCTCCATGTCACTAGGTTACCTCCAAGAAAAGTACAATATCCTGTAGTTAATCTTCTATCCACTAATGGGCCAGCATAGTCAGCGTCGGTGTAACTACCTTTCCCCTTGCAATCAACAAGATTTTTTTCCTTCTGTTTATCAACGATCTCCCTCCCATATTTTATTCTTTTCTAATGTACTCATTTCCTCTTTCATAGCATCCCTCCATTCTCTTTTTGACAATGCCTCAGACACATTGTTAGGGATGACAATGGTGTTCAAACTCACAATGAATCTTTTGTGGGCTGGTGATAGACGCTTAAGAGATACATAGTGAGATAATGGATAGAGTGGATTAGATTCTTGGACTTGTGTCAGTTCAGGAACGACCTTTCTCCTTGAATACACCTGAGAAAATCTTGGGAAATCGTGAGTGACACTAGTTGGAGTAGGAGATGATATCGGTTCAGGATCAGGTGACTCAGATGTGATTGGTTCAGAGGACTCGGGTTCAACTGGAACATGAGGAGAGTTTGATTTAGGTTCAACAACACGGGCTGGCACATGCGGAAGGTCAAGGGTTTTAAGTGATTCAAAGGATTGACAAGTACTATCTTACATCATGGAAATCTTCCCCTGAAGAGAGGACTTGGAAAAAAAAGGTTTATTTTCTGTGAAAATGACATCTGCAGAGATGTAAAATTTTCTGGTAGAGGGGTTGTAGTACTAGTATCCCTTTTGAGTGGAGGAATAACCGAGGAAAACACATTTGATGGCTCTGGGCTCTAGCTTCCCTCTATGCTGTTTGTGGACATGAACAAAGATAGTACACCCAAGTACCCTGGGTGTGAGGCCATTTGAGGTTCTGAAGTGAGGGTAGAAGCTATTGAGGACCTCTATGAGGCTTTTGTTTTCTAACACACAAGATGGAAGTCTATTGATCATATATGTGGCAGGAAGAACAACTTCTCCCCAATAGGACTTAGGAACATTCTCTTGAAATAGTAAGGCTCGGGTGGTGTTGAGTAAATGCCCATTCTTTCTTTCAACTACCCTATCTTGTTGGGGTGTGTCCACGCATGATGAGTCATAGATAATCTCCTGTGATGTAAAGTAAGGTGATAGAATTTGATTGAAATAGTCTCTAGCATTGTCTGATAGTCTCGAAATAGTCTCTAGCATTGTCTGTCCTAAAGCTTTTTATTTTGACCCCAAATTGATTTTGAACCATTGAATGGAAATTAGGTATAATAGTGCTAACATCAGATTTTTGTTTAAGAAGGAAGAATCATGTAACCCGGGTGCAATCATCAATCAATGATGCAAACCAACCAGCCCTAGAAAGATCAGGTATAGTGGAAGGACCCCATATGTCACTATGAATCAGTTGAAAAGGATTAGAACTTCTGTTATTGTTAATAGGAAAAGATACATGGGTATGTTTTGTCAATTCACAAGTGTCACAATGAAACTCAGAAATATCTAATTCTTGGAATAAATGAGGAAACATTATATTTAAAACCCTAAAAGAGGGATGACCAAGACGTAAGTGATATAGCCAAATGACATCTTTTTTCGAGGAACTAAGGAGAGATGAAGACAAATTGCTCCTAATTGTCTGGGATGGTTCAAGGTGGTAAAGACCGCTTCTTTCCTTAGCAAGTTCAATCCTCCTCCCCGAGTCCTGATTCTGAAAAACACAATAAGAAGGGAAAAAAACAGCATAACATTTGAGATCATGAGTCAATTTTTGAATAGATACAAGACTTGTTGACAGTTTGGGTACATGGAGAATGTTTTTAAGGATAAAGCTTGGTGCGATATGTATATCTCCAATCCCTGCAACGGTAGCTAAAGAGACATTGGCCATGACAATTTTTCTATTACTTGGACATGGGGTATAGGCGTGGAAGAGTTGAGATGTGGGGGTCATATGGTCAGTAGCTCCGGAGTCTATGTTCCAAGAGTTGATATAGAATTTGTCTAAAACATTCATGCAAACAGTTTTACCTGAAAGAGCTATCGAACATGCTTCAAAAGGCTTCTCAAGAGATCCCTACAAGCTTCTCAACTTTTTAATTTCTTCACTGCTGAAACCC